AGGGCTTTAAAGGTAATAACCAACACCTTATACTTGGCCCGGAAACTAATAGCCAGCCAGTGGAGAGACTTTAATACAAGTGTTATGTGGTCTTTCCTTGATGGACCTGAAACCAGTCTGGCTGGCATGCTCTGTACTAGTTGAAATTTCTGAACCAAGCATGAGGGTAGCCCCCTGTAGAGCGCGTTAGAGAAGTCAATTCGAGAGGTTCCAGTGCGTGCACCACAGTTTTAAGGTCCTTTACTTCCAGGAAAGGGTGCAGCTGGCGTATCAGCCAAAGCTGATAACAGGCGCTCCTGACAGTCGCAATTACTGGATTAGTCATCTGGAGCGACGGATCTAGGAGTACCCCCAGGCTGCAAACTCAATCGGAGAGTGTGACTCTGTCTAGGACTGCAGGTTGTATCCAATACCTGGTTTTGGGGCCGCTACTGTGAGTACCTCCGTTTTGTCTGGATTCAGTCTCAATCTATTTTTCCTCATCCAGTCCATTACTGCCTTAAAACAGTCATTGAGGGGAGAGACGCCATCGGGAACCGAAGCCGAAGACTGAGACATGGAGAAATATATCTGGGTGTCATCAGCATACTGATAACACCCAGCCCCATGTCTCTGGATGATCTCTCCCAGTGGCTTCATATATATGTTAAACAGCATTGGGGACAGAGTGGCGCCTTGAGGGACGCCGCACTTAAGCTCTTTTTTTGTGGAGCAACTGTCCCCGAGCAACGCCCTCTGGGATCTACCCAAGAGGAAGGAACAAAACCACTGCAACACAGTGCCTCCAATTCCTACCCCACTCAGGCAATTTAAGAGGATGTGATGATCAATTGTATCGAACGCCACGGAGAGGTCTAGAAGCATGAGCAGGGTCACACTACTGTCGATGTTCAGATGAAAGTCATCAGCCAAGGCAACCATTGCAGTCTCAACCCCAAGTCCTGTCCTAAAGCCAGTTTGAAATGGATCTAGATAATCAGTTTCTTCCAAGACAGCTTGGAGTTGAAGAGCAACCGCCCTCTCGATCACTTTGCTCAAAAAAGGTAATAAGGAGACTGGCCTATAATTGTTCATATCCAGGGAGTCCAGGGAGGGTTTTTTCAGAAGCGATCTAACTGCCGTTTCCTTCAGACAAGATGGAATATAACCTTCCATGAGGGATGCATTGATGATGTCCCTGAGGAACATCCTCAATGCATCCCCCCCCCCCCCGGACAGCCAGCCATGATGGGCAAGGATCGAGAGGGCAGGTCATTTTCCTCACTCTGCAAAGGAGCTTGTCCACGTCGTTGGTACTCACAGATTGAAACTGATCCAGTATAATTTCATTAACAGAGTTGCTGGACACCTCATCAATCAATTTTGTCAAAACCCTGGCATCTAAGTCAGCTCTTATCTGAGGGATTTTATTTGCAAAGAAGGTGTTAAACGCGTCACAGCAGGCCATTGTCGGGTTAAGTAAAAGGTTCTGCACAGGTGGAACCCATGTCAGCTCTCCAACCACCCTAAACAGCTCTGCTGGATGGGACTCTGCAGATGCAATACGTGAAGAGCAGAAAGATCTCTGCACTGCATGTATTGCCTCAATAGGACCGAAGAAAGTTCCTATGACGAGTCTTGTCAGATAACAGTCGAGTTTTCTGCCAAATGCACTCTAGTCATTGTCCAGTCCGCTTCATCTTTCTAAGCTCTTCCGTATACCATGGTTTACGATTAGAAGCAGGCTGGAAAGGACGCTTGGGAGCGATTGTGTTGATAGCCTTGGCAAGACCGGTGTTCCAGGTATTAACCAAAGCAGGGGTAGGCAACATTTTTGAGCCGGGGGCTGGGTTGCTGTCCCTCAGACAATCGGGGGGGCCGAAGCACCATAAATAAATAAATAAATAAATAAATAAATATTTTTTTAAAAAAAATAAATAAAAATAAATAACTATGTATGCACACTCTCAGCCCCAGAAAAGCCATGTCACAACCCCTGTGGAGATTTTGCCAAGAAAACCCCAAGAACAAGTAATAACAACAATAACCAATATCATTATGGCAGGCTTCGTCGTTGGGGGGCGGCGGCGGCAGAACCGGCCTAGGGCCGGTCCAAAGGCCTCGGGGGACCTCGTCCGGCCCCCAGGCCTTAGGTTACCTACCCCTGAACCAAAGCTTCAATAGAATCAGCGGCATCTCCAACCATTAAACTCTCTAAGGCTTTCTGGAATCCAATTGGTTCCATCAGCCGTTGAGGGTGGACCATTCTAATAGGTCCACCACCCCCGGTGGGGTGGACAGTGGCTCTTAGTTCAGTCTTAATCAGGAAATGATCCACCCATGACAATGTAGTGGTCTTAGTAACCTCCACCCAAGGATATTCCTGTTCCGTACTAAAGACCGCATCGAGGGTATGACCTGCACAATGAGTAGGCCCAACGACCAATTGGGATAGGTCCATGTTTGCCATGGATTCCATGAACTCCCGAGCTGCACCTGTAAGATTTGACAAACTGGTCTTAAGTGGAATGTTGAAGTTGCCCAGAACTAGGGAGTCTGGACGACTCCAGCAGCAACTCTGAGACCAGCTGTATCAGTGCAGTTAGGGAGTCTGCTAGACAATGGGGTGGCCTGGCAGAATCCCCAAACTATCCCTGGTCCTCAGGTTTAGGTACATACACTCGAAGTGGAGTGTATTCCGGACAGGTATCCTGGTCAAGATCAGATTGTTTTTAGGAACCAGGGCCACTCCACCCGCCCACATCCCCATACTTGCTCACTAACAGAGTACCCGGCTGGGAGGGCCTGTGCCCAGGTTATAGCACTATCCTCTCCCAGCCAGGCCTCTGTAAAGCAAGCTAGGTCGGCATCCCCATCTAGGAGGAGGTCATAAATAATATGACTCTTGTTCTTAACCGACTTGGCATTGCAAAGGAGTAAGCTAAGGCTCTGTGGAGTGGTTGGCATGCTCTCCAAACCATTCCAGGAAACAGAGTGAGCTGAAGGCGGTATAGCTTTCAAACATCAATCCCACCTTCTTTTGTAACATTGCCTCACTCTGTTCCCGCCATACCTTCCTTTCCCCCGCACAACCTCAATTGCTGATCCTGGATCATTCCCGGCCCATATAGGGAGTGAGATGTTAACAGCCCAATAGCCTCCTTACCCACAATCTCCCAACAGCTTAGGAAATTTAAGTCTTTAATAACTATACTCAGTGGGATCTATAAGCTGGCCGAAGACAGAAAGTAAAGCGAACCAAATAACCTCCACCAGCTCTACTCGCGGGCTGGGTCTGGCCTCGTTGCAGTGGTCATCCCGGTAGTAAAGGGGGCTGGGCAGGCAGATGGTAAGTCCCCACCCAGGCCCGACTCTCGGGTTGCCACTGCTGGAGGTCGAAGGGTTGGGAGGGCTAAAAAGCCCCCCGCTCCGTCCCAGCTCCAGTCCCAGGTGTTAGAAGGGCTGGATGGGCAAGATGGTGAGTCCCCGTCCAGGCCTGGCTCTCGGGTTGGATTCTTAATGCACGGATTCAATTATCCACAGCTTCAAAATATTCCAAGAAATATCAATTCCAAAAAAGCAAATCTTGATTTTGCCATTTTATATAGGGGACACCATTTCACTATACAATTGTATTTGATGGGACTTGAGGAGCCACAGTTCTTTGTATCCATGGGGGTCCTGGAACCAAACCAAGGACCCACTGTATAAATCATTGTCACATTAACTCTACAGGGAAGCATGGCGGCTGCCACGCTACATAATTAATCCAGTTTGACACCACATTAACTGCCATGGGTGAGTGCTATGGAATTTTGGGATCTGTAACTTTGTGAGGTATTTAGTCTTCTCTATCAGAAAGCTCTGGTGCTACAACAAACTACAAATCCCAGGATTCCATAGGATGCAACCATGACACTTAAAGCGGTGTCAGTCTGCATTATTTCTATGGTGTAGAATGTAGATGCATCCTGAATGTGATTGAGAGAGAGGATTGAGAAATTGCTTTGCCCTGGTCAACACCTGTTTCAGCACCCACACCAACCAAGAGGCCATTTGAGCATATTTATGCGCTGATTCACACATTCCTTGTGCACCTAGGATTTTTTAAGTGTACCCCTGACAGTGTAGTAATGTGAAAAACAAAGGGATCAGACTTCTGTTTGCAAATATCTTCTAGTAATGCACACTCGGTGAGGAAGCCAGCCACGGCTGTGACTCCCTGTCAAATAATTGTTTGCTGCCAAACCTATGTTTGCCACTGAAAATGTGCACAAAGTCTCTGCGTCTGTAGGATTCATATCAGAGGCTTTAATGACTTGAGCAGCAAGAGGAGAAAGGGAGGAAGGCTATGTTGAGGGATCTTGGTTTTTTGCCAGGTAAAAAGCAAAACCTCTGCAACCTTAAAAGCCAAATCCTGATCTTTCACCGTGAGCAGCATAGATTATGAAAATTAGACAACATCACTTGACCTTCTCATTCAATTAAATTTGATTTATTAGACACAAGTTCCACTCCGCACCAGCAGAAGCAGAATGTGCGATTTGGGTGACAAAGAACCCTGCTCACATATTTGTTTGGTTGCAGATAAACAAGGTTGCAGATAAACAAGGAGGGAATTAATGCTACAAGCAGGATTGTCCCTACTACCATTAGGCAGAGTGAGGCAGCAAATGCTGGGGGTGGATGTCAGGGTTTTGGAGAAGAAAGCTGTGTGTGCCACCCTCCCCCTCCAAACTACCCTGCTGCCCTCAAGACTGGTGGCAGATGCCAGGGTTGGCATAAGATTCATTGGGAATTCGGGCCAGTTCCTGCATACACAGTGCCATTGGGAGTAGGGATTGTTGTTGTTGTTGTTGCTGTTGCTGTGTGCCTTCAAGTTGTTTCTAATCTATGGTGACTCTAAGGCGATGCCTATCATGGGGTTTTCTTGACAAGGTGTGTTCAGAGGGGAGTTTGCCTTTGCCTCCCTCTGAGGCTAAGAGAGTGTGACTTGCCAAAGTTCACCCAGTGGTTTCCATGGCTGAGCAGGGATTTGAACCCTGGTCTCCAGAGTTGTAGTCCAACATTCAAACCATTACGCCACAGTAGCTCCCTGGGAGTAGGAGTAGGAGGCAGCATAGAATCGTAGACCCCAATGGTCATCCAGTCCAACCCCATGCTGCCATGCAAGAATACACAGACTCAAAGCACTCCCAATAGATGGCCATCCAGCCTCCATTTAAAAACCTCCAAAGAAGGAGACTCCACCACACTCGGAGGGAGTGTATTTCACTAGCAAATTGTCTTGGGACAATGCTGCCCATTAGCCTTGTCCTCTGTGTTCAAGAACTGTGTGATGGACCCCATCTGTGATATAGCGCCTTTATTTTCCACTTCCCAGAGCCTGGAAATAATTAGTTAAGAATTAGTTAGCACTGATTTGTTAATGTTTCCAACAGCTTTTCAACTCCATTTAAAAAAAAAAATTAAATACCAACAGTGTTAAATTATCATCATTGAGGGTTGTTTTCTTTCCTTGCTTTTTGTGTGTGTGGCTATTTGGGGTGTGTAGGAAACCACCTTCAGTTGGTTTGTTTTTATTATTTTTTTAATTGCTGTTTTAAATTAACAACAAACATGTTACCAACATGTTAATGAATATTAACATGACAAATTAGTAGCATAGCTTTCTCTTAAATGATTTGATGTCAATGAATTAGTTTTGTTTAACGATATATCATTAGTGTCTTATCACAAATGCTGACATTTCCAAACTGTTCAACAGACATTTGAATGTATATGGGTAACACACATTCTTGAATGCCTGGAGTGGGAGGCAGCTGGAGAGTCTGTTAATTTTAGGGCCAGTTTCTGTGATCTAGGAGGGACCTTGCTGCTGTTCCCCTTGGCATCTTCCTACCTCCCTCCTCATAATGTAGGGATGCCGACACTAGGGTTATGTGTATGTGTGGGTGGAGGGGAGGAGACAGGATTGTGTGAAAAGGCCCATGGCATCTCTCTGGTGTCACGGTTGCATCTACATTGCAGAAATAATGCAGTTTGACACCACTTTAAGTGCTGTAGCTCCATCCTATAGAATCCTGGGAAGTGTAGTATTATAAGGTTGTCCAAAGAGTGCTGGTGCCTCACAAAAATTAAAAATCCCAGGATTTCTTAAGATGGAGCCATGGCTGTTAAAGTAGATGCACTCTTGGTGATGGACAGAAGATCAGGCATGAATAGACAGATAGTCTGAGCAATGTGCATATGCTACAGTGAAGAATGGGCTGATCAGGTCAAATGTATTCTTGTGGCCTGTCAGATGTTAGATTGCAGCTTCCATTCATTGCATCCTGCATAGGATGATGGGAATTGCCTTCCAACAGTATCCAGTGACCATAGATCGCCTGACCCTGCTGTTATATAGCCTTTCCTCAATGTGCCCTCCAGAGATGTGGAACAGAATTCCTATCATCTGCCCTGGGAGCATAACTATCAGCCTCCCATATCGAGAGAGCAGCAGGTTAGAGAGAGATGTGTTAATGAGTGATGTATTTAATACTGTTTAATTCTATTTTAATGCTTACTTTTGTATGATTTTAATTGTATTGTTTTAAGTTATAAGCCATTTTAAGTTCTAGTTTTGGGGAAAACCAGGTTATATATCAACATAACAATAACAATAATAATAATGCTGTAGAGCATTTCACTACAAGGCTGAGAAATGTTAACTTTCCCAAAGTTGCTAGGAGCTGTTCTTATATACTGTTCTCCTTACATAGAAAGAAAGGCCTTCCATATTAGAAAATGCATGAAACAAAATTTGTGTACATTGAACCATCAAAAAGCAAAGGTGTCACTATTGTAGCCACCCATGTGGACAGTTCTGGATTTTGGAGAATTTTGGATTTCAAAATTCGATATAAGGGAGACTCAGCCTATATTATGTGGCGATCTCCCACCCAAGTACTAACCAGGATTGACACTGCTTAGTTTTGAAGATTGGACAGGATCTGGTGCCTTTAGGTTATTATATTTACTGAGTGCATATTTATTTCTTAAAGTGTATATGCTGCAATGTTATTTGTGAAGACTCTCGAGGTGGCCCACATTGAGAAAGCAGAATAAAATAAAAACCATGTTAAAGTACTATAAATCTGACACAGGACAGCAAAAATGAGCAAGAAAATAGGTCTAAATTAAACTAGAGTGGGTTGCCTCCCAGTTCATCAAGGCCTTCCTGCATTAAAAGGGTATAATCAACTTGCTAAAACATTCTATAGATAATCCAGGGCTCATTTCACACTTCACAGTGATATCACTATGATTCCACTTTAACTGCCATGGCTGCATTCCTATGGAATCCTGGAATCAGCATTTTGTTGAGAGCCCTTTAGAGTCTTCAGTCAGAGAATTCTCTTCTAGTGCCTCCAAGCAAACTACAGATTCCAGGATTCAGTAAGAGGTAGCCATGGCAGTTAAAGTGGGATCATGATGCTGTAATGTGAAAGTATACTTTGAGATAAATATTCCCATCCTTGCATACAGACTTCAGACAGGAGGGGTATAAAAATAGTGTCTCATTTGGCAATGATAAGATGCCAGGAGGAATAGCCAGAAGAAAGCCTTTCTGTCAAACACAGTGGGCCCTTGGTATCCACTGGGCTTTGATTGTAAGATCCTTTATGGATACCAAAATCCATTAATGCTTAAGTCTCATTATATACAATTGCACTTTAAAATGGTTTCCCTTACATAAAATAGCAAAATCAAGGTTTTCTTTTAGGATTTTTTTATTTTTAAGGAATATTTTCATGTTGTGGATGGTTGAATCTGTGGTTGCAGAATCCGTGGATACAGAGAGGATCAGCTGTACCTGGGTTCTAGCCCAGAAATGTGTCTTATACTTTATGTCCATGGGGTGTATGCGCTGTGGAGACCTGCTCCAGTTTTGGTTTTCTAATATCTATCTGAACACAAGGTACAAATGCTTTCCTGTACTTTGTGATGTGCAACTCTATGATACAGATATAGTTGTAGAATACTGCTCCATCTAAAAACTTGTTGGGCTTTACCTCTACCTTTCCAGAAAGCTTTGAAAGTAGCGATAACAAATGTGCCATGAAGCAGCTCTTTTGAGAGACTTTCCTTTTCTGCATTTGTGCACCAGAATCTGTGTTTTGATGGACAGCTGCAAACGATTTCCTTATACGTACATTTGAAAAATGCCCCCCTTTTAAACGCATGCAAAACACTGCTGAGATACATTTTAGTCAAGGAAAAGAATGCATTCCGAAACTAATTTCATGCAATGTAAATGCCCTAAAGCAGGGGTAGGCAACCTTTTTAAGGTCTGGGCCAGTCCCCCGAAGTCCTCCTTTCCACTGGGCCGGGGTGTGTGTGTGAATGGCGGCACGCGCCCCCGCTGCCGCGTGCGACCCCCCTGTGCGCGCTGCCGCAGCCGCACATGTCATGGCCGCCATTTTGAAAATCAAAATGGCGGCCATACCGCATTTGCGCATGCGCAGTACTCCTGCGCATGCGCAAACGTGTTGCGGCTGACTGGAGGCGAAAATGCGCCGCGGCAGCGGCAGCAGGGGTCTTCCTGGGCCGGTAAGTCCGGCGACCCGGGCCGGAAGTGGCCCGGGGGCCGTAGGTTGCCGACCCCTGCCCTAAAGGCACCAGATCCCATCTGATCATGGAAGCTAAGCAGTGTCAGCCCTGGTTAGGACTTGGATGGAAAACCATCAATGCATACCTGGTGCTGTAGGTTATATTTCAGCAAAACCATCTCTGAAGATTCCTTGCCTAAGACAATCCTATGAAATGCGTGAGGTTACCATAAGTCAACACGTGATTTGTAGGTGCATGTATGCACACAAGCATACTATACTGGCCTAATGGCTGTAATAAATGAAATGAATGAACACAAGCATACACACATTAGTGTACAAAGGTATGCACACTTGCAAAAATAAGGGGAAAAGTGAATGAGGTTTTCCTCATTTAACAACAAATATGGCAAGACCAGAATATGACAAGATCAGATGCGACTGTTAGGTAGATTTGTAATTTGTTGATTGGCTGAACCCAAAGGATGCTCAGCAATGGCTCTTCTTCATCCCAGAAAGAAGTGAGCAGTGGGGTGCCACAGGGTTCTGTCCTGGGCCCAGTGCTATTCAACATCTTTATCAACAATTTGGATGAAAGAATAGAGGGCATGCTTATCATATTTTCAGATAACACCAAATTAGGAGGAATAGCAAATACCACAGAGGAGAGGATCAATATTCAAAATGACCTTAATAGATTAGAAAGCTGGGCCAAAACTAGCAAAATGAATTTCAGCATGGCGAAATGTAAGGTACTGACTGCACTAGGGCAAAAAAAATGAAATGCATAGATATAGGATGGGGGACACCTGGCTTAACAAGACTACATGTGAAAGAGATCTAGGAATCCTAGTAGAATGCCACCTAATAAATAATAATAATTGTACTCCACCCGTCTGCATAGCAATCGGGGCGGCTTCCAACATAAAAATACAGTACAATAAAATCAACCCCAAGGCCGAACCCTCCCAACCCTTAAAAAATTGTTAAACAGCATCAAGTTTAAAGCAATTTAAAAATAAATTACAAAATTACAGATTACGATAATTGCAGCAGCAGCGGATATAATAGCAGCTGGGATGGGGAAACGTTAGATTCCACCTAAACATTAGGAGGAACAACATACGTTGAGCATGAGTCAACTGTGCAATGCAGCAGATAAAAAGGCCAATGAAATTTTAAGCTGCATCAATAGAAGTATAGTGTCTAGATCAAGGGAAGTGATAGTACCACTGTATTCTGCTTTGGTCAGGCCTCATCTGGAATACTTTGTCCAGTTCTGGGCACCACAATTCAAAAAGGATGTTGACAAGCTGGAGAGTGTCCAGAGGAGGGCAACCAAAATGGTGAATGGTCTGGAAACCATGCCTTATATGAGGAGCGACTTAGGGAGCTGGGGATGTTTAGTATGCAGAAGAGATGGTTAAGAGGTGATATGATAGTCCTGTTTATGTATTTGAAGGGGTGTTATATTGAGGAGGGAGCAAGCTTGTTATCT